CAACCAACTGAGCCACCCAGCCAGAGCCATGCAGTCAATGTCTGTGGGCTTAAATATTTAATCCAAGAAGAATATTTACATTTTGGAAAATCTTGGATTAAAACTCTTACAGTTATCGTTGATTAATTATAGGCTCTACTGGCATCTCAAACTTCCTATTTATTTAGGCACCTTTTTGACACACTGGCATAGACTTTACTTTCAAAACAAAATATTTTCCTTTCCCTTCTTCACCAGGGAAAATTTAAGCCAGAAAGAGAAACTTCCACAGGCCGGTACAGATACACAGCAGTCTGAGAGAAGTGTCCATCACAGTGATGTCTTTATAGGAATAGAGTGAGTCAAGGGAGTAGCTGAATTTTGTCTTGCTTTTTTTGTTTTTTAAATATATGTGTTTTTTATTGATTTTAGAGAGGAAGGAAGAGGGAGGGAGAGAAAGAAACATCAGTGATAAAAGAATCATTGATCAGCTACCTCCTGCACTGGGGATCAAGCCCACAACTCTGGCATGTGCCCTTGACCAGAATCGAACCTGGGACTCTTCAGTCTGCAAGTCGACGCTCTATCCACTGAGCCAAACTGGCTAGGGCTGTCTTGCTTCTTAATGATGTGGCTACATGCAGTTATTGTATTTTATGTTTTAGACCCAGTCTAGTATGTTGAAACATATTAACTCAAGTATAAAAGAGAGAAGAGTCAGTAATAGAATGGTCATGGCATGGTGGTTGTTTTGTTGAAATTGAACTTGATTGTAATTTTTTTTCAAGTTATGACCATAGAGAGTGAAGCAAAGGGCTTTGTTTTGTGTTTTGAGAGCAAAGCACTTCTCTTCATAAGGAAACCTTAAAATGGTTTATGTGGAGTATTTAAGCTCAATTGTGTCATGACTGGTCACCAGGATGTAAGCTACGAATCACACCTCCAAGTACCTAATGAAGTTACCTGTTCAATGGAATTACTTACCTCAGTGGTCTTCAAAGTGTGGTGGTCCTTAGCTCCACTTGAAGACTTGTTAGAAATGTGAATTCTTGGACCCTACCCAGAGCTACTGAAAGATAAACTTTGGGGGTAGACCCAATCATCCATGTTTTGACAAGACCTCCAGATGATTATGATGTTCTCTCAAGTATGAGAAGCACTGGCTTAGATTATTCATCTGAACATTAATAATAACAACAACAAAACCCCAAACCACGAATGATGATTTTGGTTTGTGGCCCTAATTGAATCTAGTTCTTTCTGATAGTAATATACCACGTGGTTTCTGTGCTGCTTGTGGCTACTTCTGGAATGTTGTGAAAAGCCATGTCTTGTCATCAGTTACATGCTGATGTAGGTCTTCCTATTTTGCCATGACAAGACTATTCAGGTGTGCATAATAAAGGGATGGGTCCTGCCTGCTCTTTGAAATACTAATTTGTTTTTTTCAGAAGGTTATTTTTTTTAATCAAATTTGATTTTCATAATGACTTGTATAATTTTTCCTTTAGGAATTATCCTGTGAAGTAGAGATAGCAGAAACTGAAACCAATCAGTTACTGACATGCAGTTCCATATATTAAATATAACAATTAAGATTACAAAATAAAATGTGATCTAAGCATTGTAACCAAGTTTGCTTTGCTGAGCCTTAAATAATTGATGCTCTTTTTTTCATTCATGATTATTAAGCTACATGTTCTATCATCATAAGGCCTAGTTCCTCCCTCAGATTCTGCCTCTACTTTTACCTGATATTGATAAAGTTATTAATCACTTTAAGCTTCAGTTTCTTCATCTGTGAAATGGGACAATAACTGAATATGCCTAATTATATAGGATTTTTGTGAGTAATAAATAAGACTAGACATGTAAAGCATTAGAGCTAGATAAATACTAGCTGCTGATATTATTATTATTACTATTACTACCACTTCTACTCCCGTGGTTAGCAGTGGATAACTTAGAGATACATTTGTGATGGATGGGTCACTACTTTGTGCACCACATCTGTCTGTCATCTCAACAGGGGAAGATAAGGCTTCTCATCCTCTCCTTATGTTTTTAGTATTGCTGATATCATTCTAGATTACTCCTATACATTTTGTGATTTCTTTAAGTTAATGAGTAATATTTGAGTGCCTACTGTTTGTCAAACACTAGCCCCCTGGACCCTTACTGCAGAGTGTCTCATTTATTCAAATGCATGCCTTAATTAGTGTGGTCCTTTGACTGCCATGACCATTACCTCATCCAAGGAAGCACTGTCTACTTTGGAGTGAAACTTGGACTTGACTCCTGATTAAACTGCTGAACTATGCAATATCCTATCTGTGCAGTAGACTGTGGCTTTTCCTTAGTCTTAGTTTTTATCATTAAAATGTGAATAATAGAACATAAGTTATAAGGAAGTTTGAGGATTAATTAAGACAGTATTAATAAGGTGCCTAGAATAAGGTAGGTACTGAGTAGATGCTCAATAAAGGGTAGTTCTGCTTTTCTCCCTTTTCTCCCTGTAGGTTGCCTAGAGAAACTGGCAATGGTGAAGCAAATATAGTTGCCGGTGTTCTTTTGTTTCATAATAGATTCTTTGACCTTTTTTTGAAATCAGGACATCCTCCTCAATGAATTGTTTTAAGTAGATTTTTTTTTTTTAAAGCTTGTTACTTAGCATTAAACTGTCATGGACCCCCAGCTTCCTGTGGGCAGATGTGATAAACTTTGATTAGTAATTCTCATTCACATTTTTAGTTCGTGCCATAAAATAATTTAAACTGTGAATCTTGGAAAAACACAAACTAAGGCCATCAGAAAGCTAGAATACAAGTACATTTTGGAGCTCGAAAGGAGATATTTGAGATCTCATCAAATTCTTTCCTTTCTCAGATCAGTGAAGAGATCTAGAGATGAAAGTGCCCAAGTTCATGTGACTCGCCAGTGGTGGCGTTGGGGCTTCCTAGTGTCTGAGCTCATGCCATCGGTTTCTGCTGATGTTCATGTTTTGGTCATCAGCTCACGATCAGTCAAGAAGAGCTGTCACTTAACAGGGCTTCTATTGTATAGTCGTTTACCTTCTGGGAAGGAGATCCTAGAAAATATATCAGTGGTTATGATATTTGGCCCAACTCACAATCATAAAGGGTAAAATCAAAGAATGAACTGTAGAAATCAAAGCACTCTTGATTTGGCCTTTTGGTTGTTGGTAGGAAAACCATCTTGGTGGTGTTCTGATTCCTTAAGTTTATTACTGTCTGCTCCTCCACCTGCTGCCTAAGCAGGGACACTTACATTGTAGTTTTTTGTTTTGTTTTGTTTTAATTGGAGGCTAAAAAATGGACAGAAAAGATCAGTTAGAGCAGTGGTTCCCAACCTTTTTTTGGCCATGCCCCACCTAAGCATCTCTAAAATCCTGATGCCCCTCCCCCCCATGACACATAATTCTTATTCAAAAAGTGAATTCCTATTCATGTAGAGGAAGCCTAAAAGGTCATTAACTTGGTCTAAACAAGCTTCCAAAGAACATGGTATCCATGAAAGAGAAAGATAAAAAAGCTAAAGGACAGTTGAAGTACTGAGGAAGAAATCACTAAGAAATTGTTTTAAAAAATAATAATATGAAATGATATGAAAAAATAGCAAAGTTTCAAAATATGTAACAGAACTGAAATGCATAATCATGTCACAATATATATTTATGTACTGTATATGAGGCCCCTAGAACCATAAGAAATGCAAAATATTCACTGTTAATAACTCATTCTCGAATTGCCCCCCCTTAAAATCAAATTGCCCGTGCCCCACATTGGGAACCACTGAATTAGAGGGTATAAATTAAGAATGATAAACATTACACCCTCTCTGAGAACAGAAAGATTGACCAAATATGTGGCTTTGAACTCTTTGAATTACCAAAGCATGATAGGAAGTAAAATGTTAGACAAGTGTGAAGTAGTTGATAATCATTATAATTGGTCATAAGGTTGGGTTGTGAGGGGTGGGGAGTACATACGAGGCTAGGGATGGCGAGGGGATGGCACTTGTGCCTCTGGGTTTTGTCCCTTGCTCTTAGTCTGCATCAGCAAACTGCTGAAACTGTTTCCTTCTGAATTCATGGAGCCTAAAAATCCTCAATACATTGTGTCTGAAGATCTTTGAGTTAAAAATTAATGTAAGAGACAATATCACTGAAGAGAAGGGTATGGAATCCTGCTTGTCAAATTCCTTTTTCTTTACGCTGGCTATGGTCTGTGTGTGTGTACTTATGCCTAAGATGCGATGGAAGTGTGTATCACTGCCTCCTTTCAAAGTTTAATTTGAAAATGTTTCCATCTCCAACTTTTCACTTATCAAGCTAAGCATTAATTTTGGTTATCGCTAGTACTTTTCATCCAGAAGAATGTCAGAGCAGTTGGGTTGTTGTGTATTTTAAGATTCCTCTCCCACTCCTGAAATGCATTGTGTTAAGCCAGGACTTAGACCGCAGTGTTCTCCACGCCTTTTCTTCCCTTTAATTTTAATGGCAGCAAAATCAAGACTACTTTGTCTCTTAGTGGTCTTGCAGACATTTGATGACTATTTTTAAATCTTGGCTTGTAAGAAAATAGAGCTATTCTGAATAGCATGTGTAGATGCCACTCCAGTCAGTAACTGCTGGAACCAGTTTGGAAAGCTTTGCCATGGTATTGCGATCTTAAGAGCAGAGAAAGATTACAAATTTTATTTTTACATTCATTGAATGTTCTGTACTACTTTTTATTGTTTCTGCTTTATTAGCAAAAAGTAATGCTTCTATTGAAATTATTAGTAGACATCAAATCACTCTTTGCTGAGCCCAGGGTACTTAACTTTTGTGTTTTTGATGTTTTGTAAGTGTTCAAATTAAATGTAGCAATAGTGTACATTGCACAGAGAGGGAATAAAAATGCCACTTTTTGATCTGTGTCCCATCCTGTGCAGCTTATTGTTCCCTTTTATAATTAAATGCTTTTTTAAAAAGTGGTTTGTGGCTGTTTGTGTTACAGGATCGCCCCAGGACATTCGACATGCACTCCCTGGAGAGCTCACTCATTGACATAATGAGAGCTGAAAATGATTCGATTAAAGGTACTTTTAAAATGTAACTATTTGATTTTAATAGTTTAAAATTTATACTATCTACATAATCTGATCAACACTATGGCAAATATTTTGGATTCATATTTTGTATCTGGTCAGGTCCATCAATTTTATGTATGTTGGAGTTTTTGTTAAATATTTGGTAGCCACTGACTGTAGGCCCATCATGAAATGAAGAGAACTGCCAGAGTACTAATTGCTTAGGGTAGGCAGTTAGCTGAAAAGACGTGAACCATACACCTCATTGTTTTATATCTCAGGCAAAAACTGCTCATTGCCTTAAACCTACGTGTCTGACCCCATGACAGTGACGAGACACTAGAAAGAGTGCAAATGTTGGTAGATTTTTTTAGCCTAGTTTCACATTTTTAAAAATGGCCAAGAGTTTCAAAGTTAAAATGATGTTTTGTTGTTCTTGAAATATTTCCTGTGTATTGTTAAAAAAAAAATAGTGCTATTTCTACTTGTCTCAATTCTATTTCTCAATTCTATTTCTGACTATCTGTATTATCCTGAATAAGACATGTAAGTTTGAGTAAGCCTCAATTTCATCTTTACAGCAAGGCATTTCGAATCACCCTAATAACAAGGGCTTTGTAATGGGGAGCTTTAAAAATAACATACAAATGCCTGGATCCCATCCCAGTTGATGCTCACGTGTGGCCAGGGTTGAGAATAACCGAATAGATGTTTTCTAAGGGCACTTGCAGCTCTGATTTTGTGAAAACTACCCCACAAAATAATTTTTTTCCGCACAAATATATTTTACTTGAAAGTCCTTGTCATCCCACTTAAATTGTTTGTTTGTTTGTTTGTTCGTTAGTTCGTTCACTCATTCATTCATTCATTCAGTGTTAATGAGCCTGCTTTGTGCCAGACACAGCTTGCACTGACTGAGGTCAGAAGTGGCAAGGCAGCCTGTTGCTTCAAATGGTGACCAACCTGGCCCAGTTTTTCTTTATTTTTTTTAAATTCGGTTTATCATATTACTGATGCAGTAAAACAAAATACTTTTCAACAAATGAAAAATGGTAAATTTTTTAATGAGGAAAGCTTTTTGAAGTCTGGAGAAATGAAAAATAATATATATTTTAAAATGCATCCATCCAATTAGTTAACTTTGGAATAAGATAATTTTGAAGGTCTTCACTGGTGTCCTTGTGGAATCTTGATGGGTAACTAACCAGATGCTCCTGTTACTGAGGAAAGATGATATCTCATTCAGAATTGGCCACTTCTTAGCACTTTGACTTTGAATAGTCCTTCAGCCTCTTTGACCTTTCTTCTCATTTTCTCATCAGAAAAATGCAGAGTCTAAGGTCCTTTCTAAACTGCACTCTTAAAAAGTAGCTAATGGAGAAATCTGAAGAAGGTCTGCGGATTGTACCAATGTCAGTTGCCTGGTTTTGTACTCTAGTTAAGACATAACCATTAAGCCACAGTGGATAAAGGGTTCATGGGATCACTCTGTTCCATTTTTTGCAACTTGCTGCAAATCTATAATTATTTCAGAATTAAAAATTAAGTCCAGAAAAAGTAGCTAAAGGACGTTTGTTTATTCTTAATGTATTTGATTCCTTCAGCAACTATTTTTTGGGGGGAGATCCTCTTAGATACTAGATACTAGGGATAATAAATAATTAGACTTCATTTTCATGATAAATGCCTATTTGTTTATTACAGAAAGCACAGTTTACAAACAGCATCACATATAATTAGTTTATTTTGATGCTCAAAGAAGCAAGCTTCTCACTAGTATTTAGGTTAGATAAAAGAGTTTGGGGTCATCTGTAATACTGTCAGCAATAAATAAATAAAATAAGAGTTTGCACACATTCTAATAGTATTAGTGGCTCTCAGATATAGGCAGGACATCTCTCTCAGGTTATTTCTTCTCTCTTATTGAATTTTTGTGTAAAGTTCTGTCTTTATGTTATATTTCCTTTTTAATATCTTCTAACTAATTTTTACCTAAATTAAGTTTCTTTCAGCCAATTCTGTAGGGATAATCAAAAGTTAAGTCTGATGACAGAAAAAATGAAATTTGATTGGCCTCGTCTAGCAGCATAAAGATTTTGGAAAACTGATCTGTGAGAGAAAGTATAGCAGAATGGAGTCATATAGATCTAGATGGGGATGGCCATTCTGCCACCACAGTGTGATGCTGTATCTGTAAAATTCAGCATGCTGCCTCATTCATAGCAGACACTCAGTAAACAGTATCTGTTATTACTAACCATCCATAAAGTCTGTTATCATGCTTATCAAATGAGAAAGCCAGTTTCGATTTAAGCTGAAGTGCCAAGGTGACTTAAGTATATTAAGTGAACTTTGTGTATTGTTTCCTTCAAAGAGCAATAAAGAATTCACAGATGAGTTCATGGTCCTAAACTGCCAGATTATAATTATGCTTGACATTTATATCTTTTTTAACCAAGATGATGAACTTTATGTCACTGTAGTCTATCACTACCAAATGGAATTTTGCTCGGGGAAATACGTTATTTCTCGTCAAGCTCTCTTTATTAATTTAGATACCTGTTGGGGAAACTATGCATGCTTTTCCTTGTGGTTCTGCTTGTTTTGTGAGATTTTGTTAAAGGTGAAAATAAAAGTTGAATATTTTTAAAAATAACACATTGATCTTTTAAAATAGAATATAAAATCTGACTATCCATTTTGAAAATAGCCTCTCCATGTGCTCTGCTCCCTTAGCAACAGAGAAAACAGAAAATGGGCATTAATTCTATGAGACTAGTAGAGAATGAAATGCCTCTCAGAAAAAATTCACTTAAAAGAATTAATTTGAGAATTAAAAATGGAACTCCCATTTGACCCAGTGATCCCACTTCTAGGAATATATCCCAAGAAACTAGAAACACCAATCAGAAGAGATATATGCACCCCTATGTTCATAGCAGCACAATTTACCATAGCTAAGATTTGGAAACAGCCTAAGTGCCCATCAGCAGATGAGTGGATTAAAAAACTGTGGTACATCTACACAATGGAATACTACACTGCTATAAAAAGGAAGGAACTCCCATTTGCAACAGCATGGATGAACCTGGAGAGCATTATGCTAAGCGAAATAAGTTAGTTGGAGAAAGATAAATATCACATGATCTCACTCATTTGTGGAATATAATGAACAACATAAACTGATGAACAAAAACAGATCCAGAGATAGAGAAGCATCCATCAGACTGTCAAACCTCAGAAGGAAGGCAGGGGAGGTGGGGGTAAGGGGGAGAGATCAACCAAAGGACTTTTTATGCATGCATATAAGCATAAACAATGGACATAGACAGCAGGGGGGTAAGGGCATGGGGCGGGGGGCGTGAATGAGAAGAAAAGGACACATATGTAATGCCTTAGTCAGTAAAGAAAATTTTTTAAAAAGATGAAAAAAATTAATTTGAGAATTGTAAAAAGACTCCATATGGAGATAAATTTTATATTTGGGTTTATTTTATCTTAAAAATAATTTAGAAAATATATTACAGTTGACATTTTTATCTTTCAATTGTGGCTCCTCATAGAAGTGCAATTTGCATGTATATGTTTAAATAATATAGCTTATATTTGGTACAAGAACTACAAGTAGAATGAATTGGTATGGCTATCTTAAATTAAGAATAAACACATATGTGCCTTTTTGGGGAAAAAATTTTTAATGTAGTGGGGTTTTAAATTTTTATTTTTGTCATCAACAGATGGCAAAATGTTTAATATACCTAGGAACCTTCAAATACCGTTTTTGAGTTTCTTTATGAATGCTTTACTGATTGCAACTGGCTTTTAGAAAACCTTTTATCTTTTTTCTTTTTTAACATATTAACAGATGTGCAAAAGGAGTAACTAGCCTTCATTTCATAATTCATAGTAGTTATTTTTTAAATTCATACTAGTTTTTACAGTTTATTTAAAAATAGCTTTTCTAAGAATGTTAGGGCTCCTATCATTTTCTCCATGTACAGAGGTTTGGCTCTTTGGGAGGAAAAGGGTCCTCCCTCTACCTTATCTCCATGTCCTTGCTCTGATCAGCGGGCACGCCTGGATGTTATTTTTATCTCGCAATTATGGGTTGCCTCCTCCATAACCAAAGCCAGTGGCCGTCTGCAGGAGCTCCTCCCCAGAGGCGATTTCATTTTCTTTCCTGCACACCAGTCTCAGAAGCTAAGAGCCCAAGCTGCAGACCGAGTCTGCATGTTGATCTCCCAGCTGGCAGCTTGTGCATTGCTCCAATATTATTAGGCTTATCAAGTCCTCTCTCTATCTGGACAGAAGAATCTTTCACTGTGGTTGATGTTCAGGTGGTTATTTGCGGAATATTGTATCTTGCTGTTATTTGTGTGTTTTTTCTCGCCTGTGAAATTGGTCCTTATTGTTTAGAAACGGAGCGGCGTGAAGTAGATTAAAACCACATGTGAGCACAGCTGTTCTCAGCCTTCTGAAAAATAGGCTGGACACAGTGAAATAAAGATTCGTGAAGCTGTATTACATCCAGTGCAGAGCAGGAGAGACCTGCAAATCAAAGAGCCTTTTTATCTTTCCTGGGTGTGAAGGGAATAAAGGGATATAGGTATCAACCAAACAGTAGTAGTTTGTGGCCTGGAAGCAGAGGGGACAGCACTTGGAATCAAGGGACAGGAAAATAGCACTTGAAAACTATCAGATGTTAGATGGAGCAAAACCATCCACATTTTCATAATAATGGTTGTGTATTTAATATCCTTTATATGAAAACAACTTCGTATCCAATTTGCTTCATTTCACTAGAAAGCCAAATGAGACAGGGCAATTATTAGGAGAACAAAGGCAATCTATACATTGTCAAAACACTATAGTTGTTCTTCAGATAACAATTAACTAAATTATGAGTCAGAGTATCATCTTATTTGCCCTCAGCATGTTGTGAAATTGGTGTCTTTTTCTTTTCATAATGTTTCAGAATATATCTTTCAATTTTTGGAAGGAGGAGCTCA